TATCAGATTACCCATATTTGAGAAATAAAGTGTCCAATAAAAAACAAAAGAACTACTGGATTGCTTTTGAAATTATCCAATTCATTTGAATATCTCTGACGTGCTTTCTTAGCTTTTATGGAGTTTACCAAGTATCTGGAAGCATAATATGCTTGCTGAGGACTATTAATATACGAAAATTCCATCTCAATAGGCTGTGAGTAAGGATTGAAATAGCAAGTTAGATATGGCAACAGCACGTCAACGAGATCAACATGGAGATCTTGGAAGAAATACATAATTTCCATTTTCATATTTTCTTCTAGAATATGTTTGTTAGACCTGAGCAGGTTCCAGGCAAATTTTCCCAATATACAAGGCAGTTTTTTAAATAATTTTGCAAGAGTATCTTCACTGTTCCAGCTCTTACGACTTATTAACTTCTTAGTACTGAGGATGAATAAAGAATCATAGAATTTAGTTGCAGATTTCACATCCATCTCTTCTGATTTCCACTGAACCACATAAAGACAAGCAGTAAGTGGCAGTCTAATGAGATCTAGAATGTTCATTCCAATGCCTTTATGATGATATGAAAATTCGTTAAATGCTGTTTCTACTATTTCAGGATCTTTAAATTTATGTTTGAGAACATCTTCAACAATTTTAGCTTGTGAAGGGTCATCCAGCTCTGATACTTCAACAATATGAAAATTAACATGATTATTCAACATAAGTACTGTGGTGTTTGCAAGACAGTCGGGTCGGGTGGTCATCAGGATGCGTTTGTCGCTCAAGTGCTCAAAGATTTCATCTACAATGGGAAAATTATCTTTCGTACTTTTATCATACCCATCTATGATAAAAAGTTATCAAAGCCCTTTAAAAAACTTAAAAAAATTTTCTATCTGAAAATCTCTGCAAGTTTTGGTCAACATCTGCTCCCTCATTACATTTTTAAAAAGAGCTGACTTGACTTTGCTGTGTTCGATAAGGAACACTAAATCAAAATTATTAAGTTCATCAATTTTGCTAGCTCCATCACACCAATTCTGTACAAGATGATAACAGAGAACAGTTTTTCCTGAACCTGTAACACCGTTCAGCAGCAAAACTGGAGTTATGACCTCTTCTCCCGCTACTCTCTTGGTAGTTGTCAGCAAGTGCTCTTTTCTTACTTTTGTGTTGGTGTCTCCAATTTTCAAGGGAGAGTAAATCTCTTCTAAAACTGTTTTAGGCATTGCGCCACTTTTAAAGCTTACATACCACTCGTCATTCATCCAAGTAAATGGGTTTGCCACTTGAAGCTCTCGGTATTGTTCTGCCAGCTCGTTTTGTGCCGTAATCAGCTTACGAACTTCAACATCTGCTAGAAAGTTATGCAAAATTTTGTTTGATGTCAAAGGTTTAGTGATACATACCATCATATTTGATATATCTTCCAGATTTTCTTTAAAATCTTTGTGGAATTCCTGGCCAACATTTGTATAGATAGTTTTAACAATCTTAAAAAATCGGTCCATCTCCACTGCAAGTTCCTTGTCATTTAGTCCGTATTTCTGGCAAATCTTGTATTTGTAATTCTTAACTAGCCTAATTAGCCTTCGGCAATCATGACTCAACCAGTCGAATGCATTGCCACATAATTCTACTATTACTTTGTATGCAAAATTCACATCAACCATTTTCTCTTTTCTAATATCACATTTCAGAAATTTTTCATTTCCAAACTTTTTCTTGATTCTATTATCATTCCAATGCATTTTGGAAATGCAGTAGTCATAGACAGGTAAGCTCCCTTCATTAGTCTTCATGTATTTCTGAGAATACAGAACTTTAAGGACATCAGTGATGGCCCTCTCTGCAGCCTGTGTCACAAAATTATACAGTATGCTGAAGCGTGACCTTTGGTCCTCAGCACGGGAAAATTTGTTTCTCTCCCCCAAAAACCCGTAAGAAACCTAGAGACAGATCCTTTTCAAACCATTTTTCCTTCCATTGGTTCCTTCTGGCATATCTGGAAAGAATTCAATTTTTTTAATTTCCCTATGGTTTAAAATTTACGGTATTGTAATTAAAAAATCAACTCCTCATTTTGGGATTTTAACTAGTAAGCATAAGTCACCTTATCAAATTTTTCTTTTTACTATTTTTTTGCTTAAATATTAGCTGAATCGATACTTTCTCTGTCCTTTACTACCTATTTTTTTTAAATACTTAAATTGATATTACTTACTAAAATTAAAATACCATTTTTACTATCAATAAAATTTTTACTTTAACATTTTTGACATCCTTAATAACCTTACTTGTCTAATTACCTTAACCGTTTTAATCCCACTTTTACATCTTGAGTACTTTAAATTCCCTTGTACTGCCAATCCTCAAGTGTAACTCCCGTGCTTTTTTGAAAGAAAAAAAACATACTTTTTCATTTTTTGTAATCATTATTACTTCAAAAATTTTTTTAAACACCATTTTTCTACCATAAATTTTTATTTTGTACATTAATCATTATTTTTATTCCATAACTTTTGTTCCCAAATTTCCAATTTTGTATATTCAACTCCACCTTTATATTATCCTTTGACTGTGTACCTGGGGCCGGTATTTTGTATCTGTGTACCTGTTACCTTCTCCCATTATATCATTTAAAACCCAAGAATTGCCATTGTTTTTTTACTTATTATTTTTTTGGGTTACTTTAATTGTGAATTTATTTTGTAATTTAAACATTATACTCTTGATCTTGTCAAAAAACCTATACCAACCCTGGGTGAAATTTTCAAGTACCATTTCAATTTGTTTTTTTTAAAATTTATAAGTTTATTTATAAATCCTATTCTAAGATTGTTTTCATATCTTAGTGACTATATTGGTGGGCAATTTTGTGTATATTTCAATTATTTATTGTTCAAGGCCCTTAACTACTTTTGCAAATTACCAACTACCCCATATATTTTTTTTTTCTACTTTTTTTTTTTTTTATTTTTTCTACCTTAACTTTTCTTTTTATCTTGTCAATTTAAATCTAGTTATACTCAATTTCTTTTAGACAAAAATATAAACCTTTTTTCAATTACAATTGGGTCTTGTGCCTTTTTAATATCATTAGATTTTAAACTCAGTTGACTTAGCTCATTCAGCCCAAAACATAGCAATACCAAATTCATTATATTGACCATAGTTAATTCTAGTGAGAGTTGGGCTATTTTTAAAATTTTATTTTTTTATTATTAGATTAAAACCCGTTGTACTATAGCTCATTCTAGCTCAAAATGATATACCAAAGCATTTCATTAGACCTTAGTGCAATTACAATGAGAGTTTGTGTATTTTTAATTTGTATTTTTATATTTAGTTTAACCTGTTGTACTTTAGCTCTTCCAGCACAAACATAGCAACACCAATCCTTAGTGTTTTAGTGACTAATTACGGCCAAAATGCTATACTTATATTGTCCCAAAATTTCCCCCCAACAGATATCAGTACTAAAACTCAACCCACAAATCAGGATATAAATACCATAATTTAAACCTAGAAGATGATGATCACGTTGACCCTGATCTAAACCTCCATAATCTGACACACAATCAAAACCTATTGGAAAGTAACTGCCTTTACTACACAGCATCACAAGCCAGCACTATCCTAAACAATGCTAAAAGTCTATCAGAAACTTAACTACAACATCAGGTCCTTAAGCAAACACTATGATGACCTCCTGGCACTCCTTGAATCACTAAAGACACCTTTCTGCATTATTCTTACTGAGACCTGGCTTAAGCAGACATAATGATATCAAACCCTCTACCAGGATACACAGCAATCCACAACTGCAGACCATACCAAGTTGGGGTTGTATTGCAATCTATTACTCTAACCAATTATCTTGTATTAGCACCACTTGCTTTAGTGATGAATATGGAGAATACATTTTTGCCAATTTACTGTAAAAAAACCTTAAGACGCCTATAACAATCGGTGCCATTTACCGGATACCTCACACAAACATACCAAATTTCAGTGAGAAACTAAAGGCACTAATAACAAACAGACAAATGAATACGCACCACCTCTCTTAGCTGGAGACTTCAACATTAACCTTGGCCTACTAGATGATCAGCCTGTAACTGTTTTCCCATCAACAATATGAACAACACACTTCTCATACCAACAATAACTAAACCAACCAGGTTCACTGAAACGAGTGCAACCATAATAGACCACATATGAACCATATACTAGCCTCCCATAAATCAGGATAATCACAGATAGCACTACAGACCACTACCCTAACCTTCCTCTTGACAAACATTAGTAAACCACCACTTGAATACAACAAAGTTTCATTTAGACTCCATGATGAGGCCTCAATAAGGAAGTTCACAGCTGACCTAGAGACTGTTGACTGGCCTACAGAATTCTCCAAGGCCAATGGTATTGATGACTGGACAGACATTTTTCTTAACAAATTACTTAGACTATACAACAAACATTGTCCTATAAAAACGAAACATCACAAACAAACGGCTTGGTTGCCCATGGCTAACCAGCACCATTCTGAAATCCATTGATAAGAAACACCAATATGAAAAGCAATATAGACAGGGCTTAATACACAAAGATATTCTTAAACATTATTCATCAGTCCTCATCTAAGTAATAAAGAAAGCCAAACAACTATACTACTCCAGTAGATTCACTGACACAAGAGATATAAAAAAGACCTGGAAAACACTCTCTCAGATTCTAGGGACCCACAAACTGAAAAAAAAACAAGAATATTGCCCTAACTAAACCTAATGAAACACCACTGCATCCCACTGACACAGCAAACAAGATAAACGACTTCTTCTCAACCATAGGTTCTAATCTCGCCAATAAAATCCCACGCACCAATGCCCATGCCGGGGACTACCTAGATGGGAATTTCCCAAATTCCTTCTATCTTGCTCCAACTGAGCCCATGGAAGTCACCGAGATTATAAAGTCACTTAAAAATAACTCAGGGAATCTGTCTCATGTCCCACCATTATTGTACAAGAGAGCAGCCCATGTCCTCTCGCATGCTATCTCATTACTTTTTAACAAGTCACTAGAAACTAGCACCTTCCCGAAACTACTCAAGACGGCAAGGGTTACACCAATACATAAAGGTGGTGACCCTACAGATTTAAACAACTATAGGCCAATATCAAACTTACCATTGCTATCCAAAATCTTTGAGAAACTCGTGCACAGGAGACTACATATATTCATTTATAACGGCACAAAACATACTCAACCCCTGCCAATTTGGATTCAGGAAAAATAAAAGCACTAACGATGCAATCGTAAAAATGCTAGATCTGCTTTACACAGCATTGGAAAATAAGGAATATCCACTAGGAATTTTTATTGACCTAAGAAAAGCTTTTGACACAGTAGACCACGGCATCCTACTCCACAAACTTGACCATTATGGTATAAGAGGCCATGCGCTTGCATATTTCAAATCTTACCTTACTAATAGGTATCAGTATGTCACCATTAAAGACACAGCATCAACAACACAGCCACTCATCGATACCATGCCTAACCCTTCTAGGGTAGGGTAGGTGCCTGAGTCCGAGCCTTTAGCTCATAAGACTGTCATTCCCATTTGCCCCTTGGGGCGGGGATGGCAGACCAGAGAGGCCTAGCTTGTGGCTAGGCCTGGGGACAGTTGGCCCCAAAGATGAGGAGGTACTTGTGCCTCCCCCCATGGGAGACTTAGGTCTCAGACACTCCCTAAAGAGGGAGCCAAGGCCGGGCCAACCATTGGAAAAGGCCGGGCCGGGAGAATACCGGCTAATCTTTACCTAACCTAACCTAACACAGCCACTTGATACTGGAGTTCCGCAGGGAAGTGTCCTTGGTCCCCTGCTCTTTCTCATATACATCAATGATCTTCCAAAACGTATCTCAACACCTGAACCCCATTCTCTTTGCTGACGACACGACTTATGTCATCTCTCACCCGAACCTTGCCACCATCAACACCATTGTTAATGAGGAGCTGATCAAAATATCGACTTGGATGACAGCCATAAACTTACGCTTAACACTGAAAAAACCTACTACATTATGTTTGGTAGCCAGAGCAGGAGATGCGCAAATTAACATTAAGATCGACAACACTCTAATTGCCAGGCATAATGAGGGCAAAATCCCTAGGCCTAAAACTCGACAACAACCTGAACTTAAAGCACCCATATCCAAACACAACCAAAAAGTATCCAAAACGGTTGGGATCCTCTCCAAGATACGATACTACGTGCCGCAAAATCCCCTTTCCACACTATACCATTCACTTATATATCCATACCTAAACCTATGCTATATGTGCTTGGGGTTCAACTGCAGCAACACCCCTAAAGCCAATAATAACCCAACAAAAGCCGCAGTAAGAATAATCACTAAATCCCATCCCTGGCAACACCCCCCCCCCCCACTCTTCATAGATCTAAACTTCCCTCCCTGTTCAGTACATCCACACTTACTACTGTGCAATCTACATCTACAGGACCTTAAATTCCAATATTAACCTTGCCCTTTTAAAACGCTTTCTTGATAGTGCGACAGAACCCACAGGCACATACCAGACACAAACATCTCTATGACATTCCCTGTGTCCGACTAAACCCTTTACAAAATTCAATGTATGTCAAAGGCCCTAAAATCTGGAACACCCTACCTGAAAAATTCTAAAACTGCAAAATTCATCCCCTTCAAAAACTACCATCAGAAAACATCTTATCTCCCCGATACACCCTGTCAACTAATTAACGAAATACCACCTGGTGGTTAACACTTACACTCACTCACCCATTTGACCATAAACAGAAAAAAATCAATCTCAATCTCAAAA